CACATTGCATTCCCTGCGCCTGTACCTCCCTTCAAGCAGCAATCAAGCAAGCCACTCAACCGACCACCCCTTCCCTCTCCCGTATTCCGCCCCCACGTCATCTCTTCACCTATGGATCCACCCATCCATCCACGCAATATCCAACCGTCCTTCTCGCATAGATTCCATCCATCCGACCAAGCATGCATGCATTCCCCTTGTGGCTCCCCCCCCACGCACCGACGTTGCCCTGCCAGTGGTGCTCCAGCGCGCCCAGCAGCAGCCACAGCTGATCACTCCACCGCTGCGGGTGCAGCACTCGCAGCGAGCACCCGCTCTCGAACAACGCCCACACCCTCTCCGCGTCTGATGCCCGTGACACACGGGAGGGGTGGAGGTGGGATTGGGGGGGGGGGTGAGAGCAAGGGAGTGAGAGCAAGGAGACGCACAGCTGATGGCGTGTGGTGGTGATGAGGGTGGAGGGCAGGAGGGCAGAGTGGGGACAGAGAGAAGAGGTGCGTAAAGGAAAGAGAAGAGAGAGGGGAGAGCAGACGGGAGATTGGTGAGAGAGAGGTGGGGAGATCATGAGGGCATTCAAAGGCAGAGAGGAAGAAGACAGGGAATGGAGGAGAAACACACACATGCACTGGGCAGCAGCACCGCCCAGCACTGCTAATGGATTATAAAGACCCACTCAGCCCAAACGCAGCTCAACACTATGGCACCACTCACCACCACTCCACCCACAACATTCACACACGCATTCCACGCTGTCCCTTCCCAACCATTACACAATCCAGCCGCCTTCTCACTCCTCTGAACTGCCCCCTCCCCTCTGCATCACTCCTTCGACTCAAACCCCTTTCCCCCACCGCACTTTCCAGCCCGCCCCTGCCACAACAAACCTGCCACGCCCTCCCCATTAAGCGTCTCCCGTGCACCGCCGTGCACCGCACTGTACCGCACGACATCGATGTTGGTGCCATAGCACAGCACACCCGCCGTCAAGAGCTTGTCCACGTCAGCACGCCCAAACCACCCCGTGTAGTACTCCCTATGGGGGTTGGGGGGAAGGGGAAGAAGCAGGGAGAGAGAGTGAGCGGAGGCGAAGGAGGAGGGGGGAAAAGTCCTGTCCACATCCGCACGCCCAAACAATCCCCGCCCCTGCTTCCTGTGGCGGGGGGGATGGGAGGGGGGGATGGGGGGGCGTATGGGAGCAGGTGAGGAGGGGAGAAAGGGGGGGAACAAGGAGGGGACAAAGGGGAGGAGAAGCGGGTGTGGTGAAAGGGCAGCACGAGGTAAATAGGGTAGAGTGGGAAGGGTAGGCGAGAGAGGGTAGGCGGGAGATTGAGAGCGGGAGGACAAGAGTTAGGGGAAGAAGAAAGGTGAAATTCATTAGAAGACTTCCCCTCCAAATCTCCTATCCACCTCTATCGGAACTCCCATAGATCCCTCTTCTTGATTCTCCCAAGCGTAAACCCATAAAACCCTCACCCCCCCATCCCCCCCTGTTAAACCCTCCCCCAACGCGTCGCTCACACAACCTGCTGAGCGGGCGAAGCACGAGGCCCACGCGGCGCTCCCACCACTGCTCGTAGAACCGCGCGGGCGACACGGGCGCCAGCAGCCACTGGAACGCGCGATCGCCGCTCACCCTGTCGCCGCACGCGCGCCGCCCGCCCTCGCCGCTCCACTCGCGCTCCCTCGCCGCCACGTGAGCGGGTGCGCGAGTCGGCGCGTCGTCGACAACCACGTCGACGCGGTCCGCGTGTGCGACGGTCAGATCCGCCGGCAGCTCGCCCGGCTCCATCGCACGGTGGTGATTCCTTGTCGCCGCCCCGCTGCCCTCCTGCCTCGCTGATGACCACCTTCGCTGCTCGCTGCTCCACTACTGGGTTGTGTCGCCTCGACGAATGCAGGGTAACTTGGCCAGGGGCAGAATTTGACGAGGGATGGAGGTAAGGGCGCGTGTGGTCTTTGAAATTTGTAAAAGTTAACGTTTTTGGGGCGAATTTTAGTTTTGAACTTACAACGAAAGAAGTTCGAATTTCCTTCTATCTAAGTTCGAACATCGGGCTGCGTGCAGAAGCGCTGATGATCACAAGGCGCAAGTGCCTTGGTGAAAACATCAGCAGTGTTGGCCTCAGAGGCCACGTACGCAAGCCGCAACTGACCACGTTGCTGTAGCTCACGAGCAAGGAAGTAGCGGAGAGCAATGTGCTTTGTTCTGTGCTCCAGTCTCTGCTCTCGACACAAGGCCAGCATGGTCTTGTTGTCTACGTACAGGACTGGAGGAGAACGAGGCGGCTCTCCAAGGCCGGTCAGCAGGTAGGTGAGCCAGCGAAGCTCCTGTGCAGCCATGGCCCCGGCGTAGATCTCAGCCTCACAACTGGAGCTGAGAACAGAAGACGAGCGAGTAGCCCGCCACGAAACAGAGCCGGAACCAAGGCTGAAGGTGTAACCCTGGGACGACCGCTGCGTAGCCTGGTCGTCAGCCCAAGAAGCGTCTGCGTGCCCAGTGAGAACCACTGGACTCCGCCCTCCAAGCACTAGCCCCATGCCCGACGTACTGCACAAGTAGCGCAACACCCTCTTTGCTGTAGCCATGTGCTCTGGTCGGTGTCTCCTAGGAGCAACATAGCGTGCAAGAATGCTAAAAGGGTATGCAAGGTCAGGTCGTGTGCAGCTCATCAAGTACATGAGGCAGCCAACAAGCTCTGGATACGGGCCACTCGACTCTACGGACTCATCCGAAGGCAGAGCTGAGAGTGAGTGGCGAGTAGGCAGAGGAGTGGCCTGAGGCGAGGAGTACGTGAAGCCGAAGCGCTGAAGGACCTGCTGCACCATGTGTGACTGACTCAGGGTAATGGTGCGGCGTGCTCTGTCCCGGGTGATCTGCAAGCCAAGGTAGCTGCGCAGTTCACCCAGGTCAGTGCACGTGTGTCTCTTCTGCAGCTCGGACTTCACGTAGGCGAGTCCAGCAGTGTCAGCTGTGGCAAAGACCAAGTCGTCGACGTACACGAGGATGTAGAACGGCGGCAGAGAGGTGTCGGTGCGCAAAAACAGCGACGGGTCGGTAGTAGAAGGAGCAAACCCAAGAGTCGCAAGCGTAGTCCTCAATGTGTCGTGCTACTCACGTGGCGCCTGGTGGAGACCGTAGACTGGACGCCGGAGACTCCACTGGGTACCAGGAGGGAAAGACCCAGTGAAGCCAGGTGGGCGGCGCAGCCACATCTCTGTTGAACGAGCAAGGAAGTCCCCCTGGCGTAGTACCGCCAGGCTCAGCACCCCCAGTCACCGTACCCCCAGGCCCAGCACCCCCAGGCACAGCACCCCCAGGCTCAACACCCCCAGTGTCCGCACCCCCAGGCTCAGCACCCCCAGAGTCAGCACCCCCAGGCTCAGCACCCCCAGGCACAACACCCCCAGGCTCAGCACCCCCAGTGTCCGCACCCCCAGGCTCAGCACCCCCAGTGTCCGCACCCCCAGGCTCAGCACCCCCAGTAGGACGAGAGTCGACAGCAACCTCAACAGGCTCGACCGTGTCTACCTGAGACACACCTGAGGGAGCGGCACCCTGAGGGGGGAGGGGGTCTACGACAGCAGCACCTGGCGCGAGGAAGAGAGGCGGGGGTGGGAGCGGGGCAGTGCGGTAGGGGAAGAGGCGGTAGTAGGGGACAGACTCGTCAAAAGTGACGTCCTGAGAGGGCAAGACCCGGCGCGAGGTGGCGTGGTAAAGCTGCCAACCAGGTGCGTCCGGAACAAAGCCGAGGAAGACGCAGGGAACAGCACGAGAGGAGAGCTTGTCCGCAGACGAATCGCGAACAAAAGCTCGAGATCCCCAGACCCGGAAACGCGACGCATCGCCAACCTCCCCCGTCCACAGCAGTGTGGGCGAGGTCTCCGGCAAGGAGACACGGGGCCAGAGGTTGAGCTGATGCGCAGCGTACCGGACCGCAAACGGCCACACAAAATGAGGGGCAGCCGCATGGATCAAGGAGGTACGAGCGACCTCCATGACCAGGCCAATGCGGCGCTCCGCAACCCCATTCTGCTGTGGAGAGGCCGGAAGCGTGAACGACTGCTCAATGCCGTGCTCAGCACAGTAGGCTGCCAAAAGGTCGGAGGAGAACTCACCACCTCTGTCAGAGTGCAAGCGCAGGACAGGAAAGTCCGAGCGGAAACGCTCGCTGAGCTGGAGACGAGCTCTGCGGATCCAAGGGATCAAAACATCAGGGACCTCACCCTTGGTGCGCAAGGGGAAGACCGTGGTGTAGCGCGAGTAGTCGTCAACATCGATCAGGAAGTACCTCTCCTGACCCTGACCACGGACGCGGGCTGGGCCCCACACGTCCATGTGGAGCGTCTGCAAAGGAGCAGTCGTCGGGGGAAACGAGGAGGAGTGAGGAGCGGCGCGCTGCCGCCCCTCGACACAGGGAAGGCAGGGAGGAGCAGGTGAGGGTGGGAGAGGAGGGAGAACCCTGGGAAGACCAGAGACAAGGTACCGGGAGTGCATGGCACGAAGGCGCTGCACAGACGGGTGGCCAAGTCGGTGGTGCCAGAGGACAGTCTCGTGCGCTAGAGAGCGACACGAGCAGGGGGCAGACAGCTGACCTGACGCGGACGCAAACGCAGACGCAGACGCAGCGACCTGAGGGGAGGCAGTAGTTAGTGTGTACAGGTCCGACCCCGGCTGCCGGGTGAAGGTAGCCAAGTGGCGGCCCGTACGAGCACACGTGCAGTGTGTCACACGCTCGTAGGCAGGGGTGAACTGGTGAACACCCCCGTCCTGGAGAGCAGAACCTGCCACCAAGTTCGTGGAGAACGAGGGGAGGTGGAGACCTGACAGTGTGCCCGACGGGACCGCAGGGCAGGGAAGGACAGTGGAGGAGGTCGCAATGACCGGACCTCCAGAGGGGTCAGCAAGGGAGACAGCAACTAGCCGAGCAAGGGGCTCAAGGGCAGTGCGGTCACGAAAGAAACAGCGAGAGGCACCTGAATCCAGCGTGAAGGTGTGCAGTGCTGCAGTCGAAACAGTACCAGGGGGGGGAGACACGCACGCACCTAGAGCAGCAGCCTCACCAGCACCTGGGGTAGCAGACATGTGGGTACCTGGAGCAGCAGACGCACTCGTCCTAATGCCCGGGTCGGGCGGGACACTCAGGTACTCAGAACCCTCTCCACTAGTAGACATCACATACATGGCAGAGAGAATAGCATCAAAGTCTAGAGCATAGATATCAATCCCCTTCTTCAGGAGATCAAGCCAGCGGGGCAGCTCAGTGGCCCGAGGGAACTGAACACGCCAAGCGTCGCTCAGACGAGCGAAGCAACGCTGTGTGGCGTGCGGTCCCCCACACGGCTGGCCAGTGCGGTCACCAGTGCGAATGACGTACGTGCAGCTAAGGCCACCCCCCCCCCCCCCCCGTGCTGAGAGTACCACTCACGGACCTCCTGGGGCGAGGGAGTGTGCTGCTGTCCCTAGCCACCGCCAGTGCCGCCACGCCCACCACTCCCGCCACCACCTCCTCGACCACCCCAACCTCTGCCGCCGCCTCGTCCACCGCCACCCCCACTACCTCCTCCGCCCCGGCCACCTCCCCCGCCGCTGCCGCCACCCCCACCACCGCTGCCACCTCCCCCACCCGCGCCACCACCCCCGCCACCACCTCCCCCACCACCGCCGCCCCCGCTGTCACTACCACCGCCCTTGCCCCCTTTGCCCTTGCCGCTGCGACGCCCGCTCGAAGCAGACGCAGTCCCGACCTTCTCAGCACCAAGGAGGTCGACAGCAGCAGCAGAGGCGACAGAGGGAAGAAGAGGGGAGGGAGAACACCCCTCAAAGAACGGGGTACGGGGGTCACCGCGAGAGGCACCTACAGCGACTATGCTAGTCTCGGCTGCAAGGAGTTCCTTCTCGAGGAGGGCAATGGTGAGCTCGGTGGGGCAGCGAGCGAGGAAGTGGTCCCTGACTGAGCGCAGCGAGTCAGGGAGGCGCGTGACTAGGTGGTAGAGAGTGATCCAGAGCGGGGGTGGGTTCGTGGCGAGGAACTCATCAGGCATAGCGGCGCGGAAGCGAGCCTCACTAGTGCGGAGGTGGGTAATGAGGTCAGCGACAGTGTGAAAGGAAGCTAAGTCGGGGAACAGGTAGGGAAGAGAGAGACGGCCTAGAGCGGCAGAGGCCGGTGAGGAGTAGCGGGCAACGACAGCAGTGTACAGGGCCTGTGCAGTCTTGTGCTGCCCAAAGTGCTCGCGCTCATCTATCGGCAGAGAGTTGCGGATAGCGAAGCAAGCATGGGCGTCATGAGTCTGCCACTGTGAGCGAGCAGTGCTGTTGGCAGTAGCAGCAGGAGCAGTAGCGTGGCCTAGGGCGTGATCGTACAGCGAGATGTCTTCCTTGGCAGTGAGCTGTAGGAAGAGGTGTAGGTCATCAAGCCAGGTGTCGAACTTCACTGGGCGCCCCTCAGCATCGAAGGCTAGCACTGGAGGGCTAGCCATGGTAGTAGCAGTAGTAAAAGCAGCAGGAGCAGTAGGTAGGTAGGGCGGCGCGGCTCGGTACAGGTAGGGCGGCGCGGCTCGGTATAGGTCGGGCGGCGCGGCTCGGGTCGGGCGACGCGGCTCGGTTCGGGCGACTCGGGTCGGGCGGCGCGGCTCGGGTCGGCCGGCTCGGTTCGGGCGGCTCGGTTCCGTTAGGGCCGGGCTGTTCGGTGCGGGCGGCGCGGTCTAGGTGGGGCCGTTCGAGGCGGCTAAGGGGAGCGCGGGGAGCGGGTGGGGTTGGGGACGGGGCCGACGCGGGCTGTAAGGGGTAGG